ATGTTGTCTGCAGTCTGTGCAGCTTCAGTATTTTTTTTTTTTCATCTGGACAGAGGAGAAAAATGTAAACTCCCTCAAGATATCTGCAGCAGCTGCGGGATTTAAATCAAATGAAGTACGACCTCTTCACTATAAGTCAAGCTTTTTGGAAAGGTCTTCCTCATCCCTCCTTCTTCAGCCCCATATATGACTTTGAAAAATCACACACTCCTAATTTATCCAGTATGGCATTCTTTTGCTCGCATTTGGCAACCCGACCAGCACATGGTGTTAGTTTACCTTTGTCTCACTTCTGCCATCTGTCATTTTGATTGAGTGCCATAAGAGAGTGAAAACAAGTGCTTGTGTGGTGTTATCTTTGACGATCTGAACTAACGAGTTTAACAGCAGTGGCTGGAGGATTTTCATGGCACACGCAAAAAGATTATATGAAAGTTTTTTTGTTTTTTTCTTTGGTGTAAATCTGAGGATTTCACCAAGATCAAGTGAATGTGCCGCCAGACTGATGTGCTTCAAAGTGAACAAAAAAAACTGTCTAAATAGAACAACTGGCACAGGTTTAAGACGAACAAAGACATATTAGCTCTCCTTTGCATAAATCAGTTTATGGGAAGTGACATGTTTACTAATCTCAGGAGATTTGGCTGACTGACTTGAACTTTATTAAATATTTGAATCTAAATAATTAACGAGATAGATGTCTCTTTATGTATCACACATAATTTCCATGTTTATCCCAAAAACAATTGCTAAAGGAGCTACGTAAAAGAAAATGTCTATATGATTTTTTTGCTGTCAGAGCTGAATAAGGTTGTATCACATTTAGTTTGCGTTTTATCCTAGAATATTTCAGAAAAAGAACCTTGCCGGGGAGGCTGTGAGAAGCCAAAGCCTAAGACATTGTTTCCACTTATTCTGTAGAATTGACATAAGGAGACAGTATAAAACCCCAAATTCCACAACTGTTGTTTGAATAGTTTCTTTTTCAGACAGCTTATTTATTTTTACCTGGAGCATCGCTGCAGAGTTGCTTGCATTTAGAAAAGAAACAGCCTTTTTTTTCCTCATCTGTCCTCTTTCCCACAGTTTTACAGCAGGTCAAATATCACATGAGACCAAAGCAGACTTTAAGATAAGATGAAAAGAAGAATATGCAACTGTGAGGCAAATTAGGCTGACAGACATTAATCATCATCCTCCTGTTTTCTTTTCTTAAGAATTGCTGGAATGAAAGAACATAGCAATGTGGTCAGTTGGAGAAAAAGTAAAAATAGAAATGTAACGGGTTTTACGTCCCCTAAATGTTTAAACATTAAGCTTGTTTCACTGATTCTTGTGTGCAACATTCTACAAGTTATCTGCAAAGACCTTCGAAAAAAGGAGACACAGAAATGGAAACGTCATTAAATAGACTATAAGTTGTACTTTGTATGATAAAAGATGTCACATAACTTAGGTTTGGCATGAAATGTCTTTGCAGCCGAGGCTAGTTTAACAATAACACCACTGAAGACAGCATTGTAGTATAAGAAGGTCAAACTCAGGAGATTTCTAACCGGTGGGGGTTTTTTCTTCAGCTATGGGACTGTGCTGATGGAATTATACACATATCTGTGCTTTCTGAGCTGACTGATATGAATTACCTCCTTCCTTTGAGTGCCTTTGGAGTCTGGTTACCATGTGTAGAGCGGGTTTTCTTTCTATCGTGACAGTTTGCTGCCGCACACTGAAAATCCCTTTAGCTATCCTTTTGTATCCGCAGGCATGGTAGTCTCAGCAAATGTTGAAGAGAAAAGTGGTCAAAATTTGCATTTCTTTTTCAGGCAAATATAATAGGAGAAAGGAGACCTGTGCTCGGTGAGGGATAATATGAAAATGTGGCCACATGAGTGATCTGTGACCATGACTTAATACGGCATATGAGTAACATAATTGAGTCGGAGGCAAGAGTTAATAAGGTTCAGGAATGAGACATTAAGTCATGGTCACAGCTTTATGATTCAGTGATCGCAACTTTCAGTTAGGCATTAAACCGCACGAGGAAGGTGCAGGTGGCTGTTCGCTTTGTTGCCGCGATAAATAAAGGCAATCAGACAGTGTCACTCCCAAACCCACTGAACCAAACGGCTCGCTATGATCTTTTTTAAAGGCCGGCATTGTTCTTAATTTAGGCTTTAGCATTCTCCTCCGGCGCCCGGTTGATGAAAGTAACGAGGTGCCAGATGTTTGCATAACGTTGGCTTTATAAGACCAGAATTTGAAGAAGCTGAATTGGCGGCGTGTCATTAACCGATGGCACTGTGCATTGTCTCAAGGGACCGCAATGAAATAAGATTAAGTTGAATCCAGTTAACCCAGGGTTTCGTGTACTTTTATAGCCCCATGCGGTGTTGCCAGTAAATGGCATTAAGAAGCAACTGGTATCTTTTGTTTGAAACTTGTAGCTCCTTTTCTGCTTCCGCCAGACAAATAACCTCCAGCTGCTTCTTCAAAACCATTCCTCAGTCTTTTTTCATCATTTTTCTAAACTCTAACTTTGTTAGAAGCGGGTGCTAATGGCCTCTCTGGATGAACTCCATCTCCACTGCGTGTTTATCATGTTTATGTTTGGTGTTGTCAGGACAGCTGGAGGAATAGTCTAATTCTTGTGGCTTTTAGACTTTATGGTTTTTTCTTTGACATCTTTATACATCGATGAAGTGGATGTACTTTAGGCAGCAGCACGTTTTAAACAAATCTGTATATGTTATGGCACGATAAATGAAACAGAAACTTTTTGTGACGAGTTGACCACCAATCTTATCTTAATGTTTTCTTTTAAAAATTGGTTTGTTGATTTTATTTTTCGTTTAATTAAAACAACAATAGTCGTAAAAGAGTGGACTAAAAAATGGCAACAGTATAATTTATCTCATGCAGCATAACGATATGCAGCTTATTTAAATAGAAGAACACCACAGATGTTGCCTGCTAGTAATTCAGTTAGAAAATGTTTCTCACTGAAACAGCTTTTTATTGTAGATGCTGGTTGCTCTTCCCCTTTCCCTGAGTTCAGAAAAACCTCTCAGCATGATCTGCTGAATACAGGCCAATAAGCGGGAGCCTTCATGAACTCTTTGCCAAAGATAACAAACCACATACTTGACACAAAAAAAGTAAATTTTTCATGCTTTTCTTTGACTTTTTGTGGCATATATGGTCACAAATGTTTACTTGGTGAAATATAATGTATACAATTTTTTCATTTTATTTATCTCATAGCACAGTGTGACGGCTCTATGAACAGAAGTGTTGAAGTTCTGTTTTGTGTCTGGTTTTATTGTTCGTAACAACTTAAAGATACTCCGTGAAGGATCGTATGAGACTCTCCCATCTTTAGAGTAATAAAGATGAGGGATCTCTCTTGCGGATTGCTTTTACGTGACAGCGTTTTTCGACAACTCTCAGGCTCCGACTGACAGCGGAGAGATAAGTGAGCGGTTCTGGAAAGCTTTCAGTTACAGCCCAGAGCAGCAGGTCTGAATCTGTCTGCAGAGCTGCTGCGGTTTTATTACCGTTTGCATGTTTCAGTGAACAGGTGGCATGTGAGATGTCATCATCTGAAACTGTGCAGGACATTTCACAAAAAAATCACCACCCAGCATTTGTTTTTGTTTTTTTGCATCATGCTTCGATTAAAAGCTCCGGAGCTAAGTATCCTGTCCCTGCTGTGTAGGTTCAGTGCTGCCTCTGTCATAAGATCCTTCCACAGCCTTCCCGGCTAGACATGCTCGTCCATCATGTGTAAGCGTGGCATGTAAGTGGCTGATTTGGAACCGCATTAATCCCTTGAATTAGTTCATTACCTATGTGATAACTACTAATGTGCCAGAGACTGTTGAAGACATCTTTTAAGCCTCAGTGTGAAAATTGGATGCACCAGTATAAAGTTATGGCACCACGTCAGGTTTTATTGAAATAAAAGGATTTTCTGCCCTGCTGTGCACAGTCTTCATCGATTTACATGCAGATTCAGATTTTTGTGATCGAAGTGAAGGGAAGTCTTTTTTTTTTCTTCTCAGTTTTAGAAATGAAGGAATAAAAAGCTTGTTTGATGGAGAGGCATAATCAAATAAAAAGAAGTAAACACTGGCATGCGAGGAGTGTTTGCTCTGCAAAATTTTGAGTTTGGCCAATTTTGGTTCCACCAAAATATTTAGATTCTGCTCCTATAAGACCTTACATTTACATATTGTTAAGTCAGTTTAACTGGGAAATTAACTGTAGGGCGGTACAATGGTGGGGAACAACTAAAAGCAACACGCTTATAGTGTCAGCCAGTGGAAGTTGGAGCTGTTCATGAGCACACACTTGCTTGCAGACCTACATTTTAGTTGTGGCTCAGTGTCATTTCTGTTTCTTCCGCTTCGAGTTTACAGTAATTTGTAAACAGATGCAGTGGAATTGGTGTCATTGGAGTTGAAAGATTATAGATGATGATGCTTAATGAGAAAAAAGTATATATTAGGAAAATGCTGCAAATGTGAATCAAATGGCCTCAAGGATTCCAACTTGGAAAAAACATGATCAAAGAGTGAAGGGCTAGTTTGTTCTCCATCCCTCCATTTTCCTCCATTTATCTGGCCGGGTCGCGTAGGCAAAAGGCTCAAGAGAGAAACCCAGACATCCCTCTCCCCAGTTTGTCATGCAGAAGAAAAAGATATATCATAGCTCAGTAGTTTTCTTTTTTTCAGGAAATTTAAAAAATGTATGTAAACCTTTGACCATTTTACCAGGTTTGGGATTTAGTTTCAGATGATGAAATGGACATCTTATGTAACCTGAGTTGATGCTAAAGAAACGCTGCTGCTCTTCTGCTTGCATGCGTTTCACTTTGTGAGCTGATTTAAATGATGATGGCCCGAATACTGCAATTTTTGTTCTGTTTAAAAAAAAAAAAAAAACTTTTAGCATTGCAAACAGTATTTAAAGATAATTTTATTGTGTTCACCTTTCTGTAGGATCCTGTGGGGGAGAACGCAGGTGTCCATGCCTCTGCAGAGGACAAGAAGGAGAAGGTGCCCAGCCCCCATCTCAGCCAAATGGTGGTCCTTACTAACAGTGGGACTCTGTATGGACTGGCACAGAGAGTGGTGGCCACCGAGTCTCTGTAAGTGGACGCTGCTCTAACAGTGAAACCGTTCAAATTTCATGTTTTCATTCAAAATTACATAAAATTTTAGATGCTCAAAATCACAGACAGTCACAGACAACATTAATCTGTGAAGAAAAAAAACAAATCACATGCTTCTTTCTGTCAGATTAAGTTAAGAGACTGGTTCTCATTGATTGATTTCCCATATCCAACTTTTTTCTATTTTTTTTTTAACACTTTAACCATCAAAGCTTTGCTTCACCTGCCATGTGTGTTAAGCTTAATTTTTGTTAGGGAGATGTCACTTGAACTACTGCTTCAGCTTCACTTCCACTGATCTGTTTCTCAGTTAATTTAAGATGTGTTTATTCCACCCGGAGCACTAAACAGTCCGACAGCAGCAGCGAAGACAGAGTTCTGTGTGTGACCACACTTCAGTGTCAGAGTCTCGTGCAAATGCTGCTATCAGAAGGAGCCCCGTCGCAGGCCTGTTTCAGCTTAAACAGAAGACAGTTTGAAGTGACAGTTTCTGTGTGATCCGCTGCTATCTGCAGTGCAGTCTGCTGGTCATTTTCATTTTAATAGGCTGCTTAAGCGTCCTTGCCATCACTTTATGACCCTCCCCGTCAACACTGTCAGATCTGCTCCTGCAAAGGGTCTGCACAAAACAAAGAGACTCATTTATCTGCTGTTTTCACACTTTCTCTGCTCACAGTTTCTGCGCGTGTGATTGGTTGATTAAAGAAAGCCATCCATGACTATCATCTTCCCAAAAAATTGAGAGACTTACAACTTGGAGAACTCTAAGAGGCCAAAGAGGAAGAAGTGGAGGTTTTCCTCATTTGGAACCATTAACCAATAGAGCCCCCCCAAAAAAGGGGCTTCCCGATACAATCACCCGTCCCCCAACAGATATATTTTCCCTGTCTTGTTTTCGCATGTGAGGCCTCATTTCATCCCAGGCCTCCCCCCACACACAAACAACACAACACCAGCCTTGTGCATCATTAGGTCAAGCTCTCATCCGGGCCGACGGCCACACACAGCAACAGTTTAAAAGTGAGAGACTGTGTATTCTGAAAAAATAAACCGTGCACTCGAGATAACAACAGGCTCTGAAGACTTACAAATGTAAGCGGGCTAAAGATCAGAGGCAAAAATGCATTTTAGCTCTGTTTTGAAGCAAAGGACTCTGGCCAGGCTGAGGCAGACTCATTAAAATCTAGAACAGCCTGTGAAGGTTTTATTATATCTCATTTTATTTGTTAAAAGCTTAAAAATCTCATCATTATCTGTTGTTTAAATCGGCAGAAAGGTTATTTCGAATGTTCAGCATAAAAGTGGATTAATGCCGCCATGTGACTGGCCTCTGAGTAGGAGTAAAGCGATCAGCACAATGAGTGGATCGACTTGCTATTGCTTCTCTCTGCAGATGTTGTTCCTGGGATGCATTTGTACAAACATGATCACATAACTGTGAGGTGCTGGGCGAGTCTGTCCCCAAACCCTAATACACACACACACACACACACATACACACTTAATGTGCTATATTGCTGTAGGAAATACAAGGTGTTCCAGCTCAGCGTAATGCGATTTTCTCTGCTCTGTGGAAAAACAACAAATGTTCTCCAGACAACAGTTATTGACATTCAATGTAGCTTTCAACGTGGAGATTTCAGTTTGGCTTCCCCATATTAAGGGACGCTTCCTTACAGAATTCGGTTTTCCTTTCAGTGTGTTTCTGGCAGAGCAGTTTGAATCCCTGCAGTCCCACTTGGACACGATGATGCCCGCTGCCAAGAAACCGTTCCTGCAGCAGTTCTATTCCCAGGTATTGTTTTTTGTAATATATATTTGCATCTTAGATCAAAACAAGCCCATAACTCCATCACTGTCTCCTATAGCTGGGAGTCATTTTTTTTGTTCTGTTTGCTTCAGTACTCATTAGGACCTACTTTCTTTCATTTGAATTGTTCCATTTGATGTAACATCTGGTGTTTCTCCTGTGTTATATCAGCCCAGGATTCTGTCCTGTCAGTCAAATCCACACAAACAGCTTTTTCCTTTTGTTTTTTCCCCCTTTTCTTTTCTTCTCTTTCTTCTTCTCCTGACATTTGACATGTTTCGGTACACATGCGGGTCTGTTTCCTTTAATATAAAATGAATGCCATGTCCTTTGAATTCACTCAAGCAAATGTTAGAGCAACCTTACCTTGTATATTCAGTGACATTATTCTATCTGCACAGTACTTTCATCTCAGAGGAGACCTTACGTGTAACCTGGTGCACGTCTGCAGAACTTATTCCGGTATACATTCTTCCTCTCCACCTACAGACGGTGTCCACAGCCAGTGAACTGAGGAAGCCCATATACTGGATCGTGGCAGCAAAGGCCATCGACTACGAGCAAATGCTGCTCATGATGGCCGGGGTCAAATGGGACATCAGGGAGATAATGTCACAGCACAACATCTATGTGGACGTCCTGCTGAAGGTAACCGTCCCGCTGCTCCGAAAACCGCAGCTTATTTAAAGTCAGAAAGACCGTAAAGCACTCTGATCTACTTTGGTTGTTATTTGTGGATAACATCAAGGCTTTAGATTCTTCATATCAATTTCTGCACAGTCATTTTTTAGTTCTCCACTCTAGCTCCTTTAGATCAACATAATTAAACAGCACTTCTGAAATATGACCGTTATTAGCTAAATTAATTCAGTAAATCACTTTTAATGTGTTGCCAGCCTCCTCTGCTGACATTATTTAGCCTCACACATCCGTCGGTGCATCTGGCTGGTTTGTGTGGAGTTTGATTGTTTCATGTTCTAGGTTTGGGGCCAATTGGGGAAACTAGTTTCCCCCCAAAACACTAGGTCTCATGCAGTTCAGCACTGTAGTGGTACAGGAAGGTCAGCTGGTTCAGAAAAATAAGCAAATAGTTCCAGGATGCACGCCAAGCGGAGAGAGAGCTCTGGATGATGATACTAATGGTGTGGACATGTGTTACGATTCTTTGTCTTTTCAAACGTTGATATTTTTTTCACTTTAATTTATCTTACTGTTTAGTCTATTATGTTACGAAGTGAGTATAAATGATGATTCCAGATGTCTGAGTCAAGAATTCCCACTTTCTTATTGGGTATATTCAGTGGTTATTTTCCAAACTTTGACTAAAAATACGTACACCGAACAGCTGGATCAGGCTTGCTTCTATGTAGCAGAAATTCAACTTTAAGATAACTTGGTGTCGAGTTAATTCAGAGACTTTTAACATAAATGATTTGAAATGCAGTGAATAATTTATAGTTGAGCTGTTGAGGAGACATTTGAGCTCATTGGTCCCTGAGGTATTTTTTTTTTAAATTAGAAGTTTTCCTTCTATGTCTTTATGCATGCTGGCCACTTTCTCGATCATGAATTTTGCATGGAGGGCAAAGGACAAGCAAGCTGGCGTCATCTGCTCTTTTCATATTCAGTGGAGATTCCAAAATGTGATGAAAACTATAGTTATTATTAAAAATTGAGTAAAAAAATAATAAACCGCCAGTTGTCTGTCCTTTTCCTTTTATGCTTCCTGGTAGGGAATAATACCTGGGGTGATAATGAACCAAAATAGGACCCCATACCATCTGCATGCTCTGGGATGTCGACAGGGAGGCTTGAGCACTTGAGAATCCTCCACATTTAATTTAAACTTTTGTTTGACTTTTCTTTAACAATAAAGCAACTCAGAGCAGTTTGGTCAAAAATTAATTCAGTCAACTATACTCTCTATTTTTTCCTTGTTAAAGTTTATCTCTGCTGACGGAAGTTAGTCTGGATTATGGCCCCTTTTTTCCATATTCTAGTTTTGATAAAGACAATTATCACTCTTAGAAAAAAAATAAAAGATGAATCTTCTTAGTGTTCTGAGTTGTCATTCAGCTTTAAAAGGAAGCAGTAACACTGACGCACAGCTCTGTAGCGTGTGCTCAGAGGCAGGTCGGCCTGAAGGGCCGGCTGTGGTGTGAAATCATGAGCAGACCGGCATCAAGTCAGCACAAAGCCTCGTGTATGCGCTTCAGTTCACATCTGCTGGCCGAGTGCCAAAAAAACAACAAATCTGAAAAAGATTAAAAGTTAACACAGTTAAAGTTTAATGTTTTTTCTTCTTCTTTGTTTAAGCAGTTTCAATCTCAACTCTTCTTGTTCCCAGATGACTTGACAAGCCTTTGTGTTTCACCAGCCATTTAGCAGTTTAGCTTAACTCATTTCCTTCATGCGTCAGACTGTCTGAGAGCGGGGCTTTTTTCAGTTGGCTGGCCTGGAATTCCTAACTGTGTCAAACAAGTCCAGCTGATGGACTGACATGAAGTACATAACAGCTAACATGTACTTTTCGCCCCATCAAGTGCTAATGGCCTCCCCCGTCAACTTGTCAGACGCTCCTAATACATGTGGGTCGTTTTATGGGGCGCTGATTGAAAAGAGTGGGCCGTATTTTGTTGCACAAATATTTTATTCATGACTTCAGGTTGATCGCTGTCACTCCTCGATGGCATTTAATTTGCATATAAAGTGGCAGGAAAATGTAGACGCCTCAGAATGGCTTCACTGAAACAACATGTTTGGTGAAAAATTATTGTGGGGTTGTTTATGAATGGGGGACAAGTTTGTTTTTTTTATTCTTGGGTGTAGAATTATCGAGAGTAGGATTTGCCTTAAAATTCAGATATCTGATGTGACTTAGATTATGGACACATACAAACATAAAAAACCCAGAAGTCCATCCATCTGATATGTAAACTGTTCCTAGGTTTGACTGTCATAAGAATGCCGTAATTGCACTTTTTCAGCCATAACTGAACATGCTGATGTGAGAGAAATATTTAAAGAATAGATCAATTTGCTCTACTTTTATCCATGCTGTAAAAATATATTTGAAAAAAAATCCAAGAAGCAGCATATTCCTCACAGTTAATAACGCAAAGCTTTATGTTGTTTTATAGTATTTATCAAAAAGTAAACGTGGGAGCTGAGAGTTAGAGAAAAATAAAATGTGTTGTGTTGTTCCCATGAGGGAAACCTAAGATTATAGAGATATCCTTTTATTATGTGTTTGGTGTCAAGCCTCGGGAAGGTTTTTAAGTGTCTTCTCCATCTCCATGGCACTTTTGCAGGAGTTTGAGCAGTTTAACAAGCGGCTGGATGACGTTTCCAGACATGTGCGCATCCCCCTGCCGGTCTCCAATGTCCTCTGGGAACACTGCATCCGCCTGGCCAACAGGACTCTAGTGGAGGGGTAAGAGAGCCAGAACACAGCCCCCTTTTCACTGTCGAACTACTGTCGAATACTGGGCTATGTTTCTTTTTTGCCAACTCCGAACAGAACATCACCGAATTCTCTTTAAAATTGAGAGACTTGAAAAACAGTAGGAGAGTGGAAGGCCCTTATGCTTTTAGATATTCAAAGTCTTTTTGCTTTTTACAGCAACAGCCACACTGTAAAATACTCGTTTTCCTCGCGGTGAAACCACACCACATTAAAATCCAGCAGAAACGGACTCCCTGGTGGAGCAGGGTGACCCAGGGGAAACCCTCCGACGGTCAGCCATCTGTGCCGCTTCCATCTTTTACATCCCCCAAACGCCCGTGAGCAGACACGGGCCGCTCGATGCTCTTTACACGTCCCCTTATAATCCATTTCAGCACTTTCTCCTCTGAAAGCGAGAAACATGGGTTTGATAGGTGATAGGAACATTACAGCCGTGTTAGCATTGTTGTCTTTTTTTTTGTTTTTTCTTTCAGCCTTTGCGTCGCCACCATCTCTTTGCTCCCTAACCGTATGTGGAGTATATGTGTGAAGTAGGCTTTTAGATGGAAGCTGTGATGAAGCTCTCCTATCAGAACACTGAGTCAGACCAGCTGGATGGCGACAAAAAGACTAGTTAACTGCTGTTAATTATCTCGAGGTGCTGCGCATTTACCGAACACAAGAAGGGAGGCCTGAGGCTCGTTTGACTGTCCTGGTGGGCTTGCATCCAAACAGAAAGGATTTGTTATAAAGGAAAAATGAAAAGCTCCGCGGTGGTTTTTGTGCTGCTCGTTAAGAAGCAGAGCACGCATTTCATGTTGCTTTGTTGGTGGGAGGCTTGCCCCTCGTCCGCGGAGAAAAGAGGAAACGTTTACCTTCCTCACATTTCCTGTCCACTTTTCCTCTCATTTCTTAAGAGAACTTTTGAACCCTGTCCAATGAGTAAATGGTCCATTACGGCTGTGATGCGTGGCCAATTTAGGCTGCTGTTGCTCTGGATTTGTGCAGCCTGCCTGGTTTTCTGGGTACACTCCGCCGGCATAAATAGATTTACACACACAAATACACTCCTCCCATCCCTCTAGTACACAGAGTTACCAAATTAGTTTGTTTGTGCTCCGACTCCCTTTATCTCCCATTCAGTGTCCATGTCCAATACTCATCTCCCCTTTTCAAACACTGAAAAATGGTCGTGTTCACGTTCTGTGCTGGAACTCAAACGGCCAGCTCCAAAGTCCGGCAGAACCGAGGAACAAAAGAGGAAGAGAGGGACAGAGTGACAGCAGGGGTGATGGAGGAGAGAGGCTGAGGCAGACAATGGAAAGTGAACTGTGAAATGGAGAGCGTGAGACACCTGTCTGCGGAGTGTTAATGCACCGCTAAAGTCACCGGCACACAGTCTCACACAGAGGGACACACACTCTGATAAAAGTGTCCTGTGGCTCACGTTTACTGACTGAATGAAGAAGCCCCTACTACCAGATAACCTTTGCTAAACAACAGCAAAACAAACTGGTTCAGCCACTCATTGCAATCTTTTTTCATTAAAAAAAATGTCAAAAAAGGAATAATAAAAGCTAAAGAATGAAAAATTAAGCTAAATCAAAAACAGGGAAACACAAGAGACAGTCAAGTTGAACTTTGGTTGTTTTGGTAATTAATCTAAATCCACTATTACTCCTCCAGCATTCTAACTGCTGACATTTTCACCTGTTACTCTAAGTGACAGTTCATTTTTCTAAATGACTTTTCACTTTTTTTTAAAAAGTAGAAACGCATCCTTGAAACTAAATCAGCGCACAACTTTTGTGACTCATTTATTGAACCGCAAGAAGCTGGGTTTGATTTGCATACACTGTAAGGACAGCAAAGGAGGAGGGGCCTGCTGGATATATCGATTCAGGGTTTAAAGCGAGGTCCACCTTGTTCTCAAGGTTAATGAATTCTCCTCCGGCATCGTCAGAGGATTAGATTCAGAAACCTCCGATGAATCACTGCACCAGAGCCGCAGCTTTCACAGAACGAAGATTCCTTCCAACTTGTACCATTTTGTCTCAAAGTTAATGAAAACATTAGAAGATTTACAGTGGAATCCACTCGGGAATTGAAATGGGACTGAGCATTACGTTTCTGTGAAAACCCAGACAGGTGTACTCATCATCTCAGAGTCACTCCCTAAAACTGTTTCAGCACCACATACTTTGTCCTCAACAGAGCGGCCATGTTTACAAGCTGAGGGGGAAAAGAAAGTGACTGATGCTTCCACATTTTGAGCAGCTGTATTGCACATTTCGAACCCCTGGGGCAGATAGTCTGCTTATGAGTGCTAATAAAGCAGAAGCAGTCCAGGTTTGAAGCCATGTTTTTATTGGAGACGGACCTAACAAGTATGCAAATATTTTGGCTCAAGGATCCCTGCATGGGTAGTGTGTGATGTGAACCATGACCCCTTCGTTGTGTTCATTTTCACAAGCGAAAAATGACCAACTTTTATATACTTTTCCAGTTATTTTCTGACCAAATGCTTTGGAGCAAGGCCAAACCCTCTCCCTTTTTCTCGCTCCTCCCCCGCAGCTACGCCAACGTGAAGAAATGCAGCAACGAGGGCCGGGCTCTCATGCAGCTGGATTTTCAGCAGTTCCTGATGAAGCTGGAGAAGCTGACGGACCTGCGGCCCATCCCCGACAAGGAGTTTGTCGAGACCTACATCAAGGCCTATTACCTGACCGAGAACGATATGGAGCAGTTCATCAAGAACCACCGGGTGAGATCACGTCTGTAGACGTGTGACGTCTAGATCGTGTGTGTGTGCAGGTGTCAGAACGTGCCCGTTTCTGCTACTAAATGTGTGTGTCTCTTTAGGAGTACTCCATGAAGCAGCTGGCCAACCTGGTGAACGTTTGCCTGGGATCACACATAAACAAGAAGGCCCGCCAGAAACTCCTAGCCGCCATCGACGACATAGACAGACCCAAGAGATAGAACCGTGAGCGGATCCAGCCTCTAACACGTAAACCAGCCCCAAAAAGACGGAAACCGGGAGAGAGAGACGGACCCCCGTGAGGTGGAGCCGAGCGCGTAGAATGTCTAAAGTTAAAGGATGAAGGATGTGTTCAACATGCTGTACAGTGTGCACAGTGGTAGAGCCCACTTAGAAAAATAAATACGTGTAATCTTTATGTATAAGACAACTGCTAATTATGTGTTAACATTTGTATGCTCTATATTCTCTCTGTGTCAAACTGGTAAACATAGAATTCGGTCTCTCACTCTCAAGCATGCGCTGCGGTTTTCATACTTAGACATATTGAATTATGAAGTTATTAGGAAGCCTTAATTACTTCCTTCTGTTGTGTGATTTTCTTTTCCCACATGAACTGGAAGAGATACAGGAACTTGGAAGTCGACACTGATATGTGACACTTGAGCCGTTTGTGGTGTTCTGCGCTTTATTTTGACACCAAACAGGCTCAATTTCTTCTTCGACTACCACCGTTGTGCAAAAAAAACAACAACAAATGTATAAAAGTTAGTACATTTATTTGACGTAACGATTTGAGCTGAAGTTATGTATTTAAAATGAGAAAACTTTGAGTTGTTCCTCTCTGTCTGAATGTGTTTTGTCATGAAGAGACGGTGGATCAGCGCTATCGTTCACTCCAATGAGTCATTATTCCAGCTCCCACTGAAGGCTGGCTGGATATTGTTTGGCTTCAGGGTGTTTGCCGTGCCCGACCGGATTCCCCGCTCCACTGTTTTTTTTTGTTTGCTTTGTTCGCGAATAAGATAAATCTAATATAAAGATGATGATCCAGAAAGTAATATAAATTGCTGTGCTTAGCATTAGCCGTGATAGATTCTCTCAGCACCTGCTGCATCCCTCTGCCCACTGTCATATCTGACGGAGGAATTGTTTTATTGTCATGTGATGAGTTTTTCAAAGTCTTTATTAAAGCGCTTATCTTTCACTTTTGACATTTTTGCTGAGCTGTACATTTTTAAAAAAATGGGTTTTGTGGATTTTTGAATAATTTGAAGTCGTTTTTTTTCTTTCCTTTTCTAAAATCAACTGAACCAAGAGTTCCTATTATTCCCATCGCATTTGTTTCCGTTTTAGTGGCAAATAAATGTGTGTCGGAGAAATTCCCAAATAAGAAACATACAAGGGATTTAGTTATACACGGACCTCAGGTCAGAATGAGAGTTTTCGGCTAAACTGATGCAGTAAAATAAAATAATATAGTTGTGTTTCTGTTGTTACAGTGGGTTCATGTCGTGCCTCATTAGCCTCTGCTCAGTTTCACATGTGGAATTACTGTTTCTGTGGGCAGAACAGGAATGACGGAGGAAAGGAGGCTGCTAATCTGAGCAACTGAAATTCATCGGTCAACAATAATTAAAAGTTGACTTGCTAAAACTTCCTTAATAATTAAGATGATAATAAGAAATATGGCATGCCCTTTGTTAAAGCTGCTGTTACTTGATAAAAGATTCTCTTGTGACTTTAATGTTTGCAGTTTCTCCATCGTTTTGATTAATTTCTCACCAGAAAAAGACAGGACAAAAAACAGCTTTTTTCAGCTCCTCCATTAAAGTTTCTACTGGTTCGACTATCGGAGCTATGTCAGACCACGTGAAGTTCCTTTTTTTTGTGCAACTCCAGGAAGAATACTGTAAATGTGAATGTTTTGAACAATGCATATTTATTTCTCGTCTGTTTGACTTTTATATGAAAACTGCTGGTTAGCGTGCTGACATTTATTAACACACCTGTTGTAGCTTCTTACTGGAATCAAATGCAAATGTCTCAAATTGTTTGACTATGTTTGGAGTCAAGTGCACTATACTTCACATTCTTGATTAGTGTTGGAACTGTTGTTATGTCCACGTAAATTCTGACACAATAAACACACTAACTATGGATGTTCACTGAGTGTGTGCGTGTCACTTTGTGTGTGGGCTTTTAGGAAAACATGAAATTTTATACCTCAAATCTCAGCAGCTAAAGTGGTGAAACGTTTGCTTTAAATCCGAATAAATGTGTGTAACGTGTCATTTTTATAAAAACCTGCAGGGATAAAACTGAGGGCGATCAGGAGGTTTGGTAAATATAAAGTCTCATGGAAGAATGCAGTTTTTTTCCTTTTCCTCCAGCTTCTGGCCCGGAGGACCCTGGCTTTGTTCAATGATGAACTAAGGAGCGGACCAAAATATGTAAACACAAAAGTTATCCCTCTTTTATTATGCCCAAATACAGGGTGACATGTTGTCCTCTACTTTTCTTGTGCCTTCACACCTCGGTTGGATCGACCCATTCATTCTAAGTGCGTGCGACAGCTTTTCTGGCGCTTTTCCGCGGCCTCCCCCCCGCTGATTCGTGACCCTCCTGACGCCAGCCTTCCCACTCTCCCACATATCGGGGTTTTCTCAGTTATGAGCGTACCCTTCATGTTAGGCTGTGACCCACTTACCCTTTCAGGGAAAAAAACAAAAAAAAACAAAAAAAAAAGCCGTCTGCATCTGCGTGTCTCCGTCTTTGCCAAAATTCCATGAGGCGAGCCTGTTGGAATCACTGTCACCCACTCATGTCCCCCGGTCCCCTCACCCTTTCACACAGACCTCACTGTGTCCATTCATACATGTTTAATTGAGAACAATTGCTGGCAGAACCTATTAGCAGTATTTACTTTGCCCGATGGCAGATAGGACAAGATGTGGCAGGAACCACTGAAAATAAATGAGCTGAATTGGAGAACATACCAGCTCTCTGTGTGTCTGAGTCTGTCTCTGGAAAAAAGAGAAAAAGCGCAGGAAAGTCTTTGATAACATAAGCTCTTTGAAGTGGTTGCACCAAGCATTCTTCTGTACTTGTTCAATTAAAACTTTACTAATTATCAGCTCTGACTGGACTATTACAGAATGAGGGAGTGAAGAGTCTACTATACCGTATTAGTGTCGCAGACTGAAAAAAAAACTGAATGTGCATGCCGAGTTTGGCAGATGCCACACTGATGAGAATTTTTTTTCACTAAATTCTGGCCTTTTTGGGACGTTAGTCATTATTATCCTGTTTTAGAAGCCATTTTCTATTTTTTTAAACAAACAGTGTGGTGCTAGCTCTCAGAATTTGCTGGTATGTACTTCCTTTCTTTCTTCCCTCTATCACTGAAAGCTTCCCAGCACCATGAACACACTTCCAGTGACTGATTGCTCCATCCTGAACAGGTAGAGAGAAATATTAATTGTTTTCTCTCCAAACCAGCATGTCTTCATTGAACTTATTTCCAAAATGCACCATTTTTATTCTTTCTTTTTTTAGAAAGGCCTGCAAACTGTTTTCTAGGAAAGTTGTCTTCATTTTCCAGTTCTCACTCTTCATCATCAACTGAAGAGACGTACCTGAAACAACCTCTAGCATCTTATAGCCTTTCCTTTCTTCTTTGGTTAGAAGATTTGTAGAAGCTGCTGATTAGCTAAAGTTTATAGATTCGGATTACTGATCAGGATTTGAAAGAGGTGTAATTCACGCGAAATGTTGCTCAAGCATATGCCTGACAAAGTTTCTACTCTTATCGGGCTTAAAACGGTGATAAAGATCTGTTTCATCTGGCTGTTTTTGCCTTTTGGATATCGGCTCGTCTTCGGCTGACTCACTAACAGGCCGTGCTCTTTGTGGAACTGCTCAAAGGTACAAGGACTTCCGGCTGTGCACGACTCTTACAAAGAGGCGTTTCTTAAAGTTTGTTCTGAGTGGAGTAGGTTCATGGGAAAAGGAATGATGGAAGCATTTCTGAAAAGAACAGAAGAAACCAGTTGTGATTGGACATGGTTCGCTGCTGTTATTCGTACACTCACCTTAACACGGGAACAAAATACATATAGAAGCCCGTGAACAAAGAGCTCCCCCGGTTTATTTTCCAGTTCAGCTGTCACTCAGCGTCACGCACAGAAGGGAGGGACACAGATTGAGTTAGAGAGGCATGCCTGGAAAACCATTCGGGGCAAAATGAAGACCTTTTCAATCCAGAGTCTCACTCTGCGAGCGCAGAAAAACCAAAAAAAGTGAACCCGGGGAACCGTGCAGGGTTTTAGGCAAACCCACCCGCCCTCTCATAATAATGGCAGCCGCGTGCTCACGGAGCTTTCCACCGAAGCCCTTCTCACTGAATTAACTCCGCCGCTAATGGGATGGGAGTTTTCCTGTCTCCTAAAAGAAGCGGCAGACGTGTCTATCAGTCTTTAGGGAGGCTGGCTGAGATGTGCTCAGTGGGCACGCCGATAGCTACGCTGCGCAAATTTGTTCGACTTGATCAAAGAAAGCAGCGGAGGTGGTACAGAAAGCGAAGTCAGAATCACTTTGAATTGATTGTGTACACTTTTTTCTGACGGCATAAAAGTGCATTATTTATGCTCCAGTCAAAGACAGCCCTCACTTTGCTGCCGTTAATGAACTCTGGCAGGGTATTCTCATCTTTTTGACTGACATTACGGATGAAAGCGGCTTAGGCTGCTGAATAAACTTTAATGACGGCCCTCTGAGAACCTCGCTCCACCAGCCGCCGCTAATTTGTTGCTTGACTAGCCGCGCCTGGGTGGGGACAAATGTTTTGTGCGGTTGTAAACATGAATGGGGGCAGGAAATCCTCTCAAGGAACCTGGAAGCTCTGTTTTACGGCTGACAGGACGGCGAAGGCAAAAGTTCACGACGTCAACTTCGCTCGAGGAGAAAGTTGTCAAAAGCTTCCGGAAGGTTCCGGGGAGGCGACCTGCAGCTTTAAGGGCCCAGGTTTGTTTTGAAGAAGTGGCAATTAATGGCTGACATGACAGACGGATCATTTGGATTTTCTTTCTACTGTGACTGAAAATAAAGTGCAACATTTTCCCTCACATTTTTGTTTTGTTTTTAAACCAGAAGTCGTTTTTTTTAAAAACCACAGGTGAGATGTCACCCCATTTGTTCCAGTTAACCTGCGTTTTACAGC